AAATGTGGGCCGCAAACCTTGCAAGTGGCAGGCTGCTCTAAAATGGACAGATGTCAAGGCCACCTGACATCTCAGCATGGCTGAAAAGGTGGGCCACCCATCTATCAACCAGTCAATCAATATTTACTGAAGGCCAGCAAGGGAAAAAAATGCGGTGCTAGATCCTGACGCCTCGTGGCAAATCTGTTATGCCCAATACTGATGCTTGTTAGATGTGTAATATTTTCGACCCTTTTGCAGTTATGGTTATTATTATTGTTATTATTTTGTTTGGCCCGATATCTTTCTCTGATTGCAAGCGAGGAGGAAATTATAATCCATTTGCAAATTTCTCAACTGTGTTTCAAATATGTCTCTGGAGCTCAAGGTCTGCATGTAATTATTAAATGGTTCATCGCAGAATAAACTGGCTCTACTTAAAAAGGCACAATCCTACAAAATCAAATCAAGCACAGGGCAAGACATCCTAAGGTCCCTATTCCCTAAAAGAGAAATGTTCTCTGCATATGTATGAGTGTGTTTTCATAAAGTCTTTTGACTTTTGAGTTTTAAATATGTTCTTAAAGAGATGTAGATTTGAAGGGAAAGCAAGTTAATAAGTAAGTACAGAGGGCATGATATAATGGTTTCAAGTGTCAGGGAAACCCAGGAGGGATGTGTTGCTATTCAACTCGGTTTCCTTTCCATGGGGTAATTTTTTACCTGCTTGTTGGAGGCTATTCCTTGTAGGACATTTTTTATTTTGTACTTTCCACAGCAATGAGGATCCATGATGGGGAGCTGCTGCCATTTCCTGAGCAGCAATTGCTCCTGTGTTTGGACTAGACTTTGTGGCAGGCAGTGTGGCTGGAACAGTGAACAGCAAAAGCCCATTCCTGGTCAGCACCAGTCAGCCTTTCCTGGAGTTTTGGTGCATGCTGACATGAACCTTTTTCAAGAGCCCCAATTCTGCCTTACGGAGATGGAGTACTGGGCTCAGTGCCCACATCCAGTAGAGAACACCTGAAGAACTGGTGGCATGCATTTGTGGCTGTGAAGTTGAGCTGCGGCTCCTGTGTAATCTGCAGCAGATTCTGTATCAGCCAGGGAGTCAGTGCTGGCCAATCTTAGGGCTCCTTGGGCCTCTGGTGGCAACACTCCTTGAGGACAATGGGAGAATGTTTCTCATCTACACCTCACTAGACTACAACACCTCTCCTCCTTTCTCTTAGCAGCCTGTTCAAATCTTCCCTGTCCCTTCCATGAACCCTTCTTAGAATGATGTCCCTGCACCAGTCTTTAACTCCCAGACCAGTTATCCAGTCCACCTCCTGAACCTCTCAGTTTCTCCATCTTCGTCTAAATGGGGTACACTTGCCCTAGGATATACTTGTCCGGTACCTCTACTATCTTCCTTCAAATCCTGGACCAATGACCTCCTCACTGGGTGCAAAACCTGCCTCTGTGACTTATTAGCTGTTTGACCTTGCACATTACTTAAGCTCTCTGTGCTTCAGTTTCCAAAATGGGAATAATTTTGGTAATACCTGTTCAGAGGGTTAGTATATGAATTAATGGAATTAATACACACAAGCAATAAAAATAATACCTGAAGGATGGTTAGCTGATCAGTGTGTACTAACTCTCCTTGTTTCATTGTTTCAGCCTGGGCTCCATTTTACACTGTAGTGATTTGAGCATGTGTTTCCTTTTCATGTGACATTGCAGGCTCCTTACAAGCTCGTACACCCAAACTAGCAGTTTCATGAGTACCAAACTCTGGACCCAGGTCTAGTGATTGTCTCATTTTGTGACCTATTGCAATTTAAGTTTTCTCCTCCTCCTCCTCCTCCTCCTCCTCCTCTTCCTCCTTCTTTTTTTTTTTAAACTGGGGATTGAACCCAGGGGTGCTCAACTCCTAAGCCACATTCCAGATCTTTTTAAATTTTAGAGACAGGGCCTCACTAAATCGCTGAGACTGACTTTGAACTCACAATCCTCTTGCCTGAGTCCTGAAAGGGAAGTGACCAAAAGATCTTTACTGCAGCAGTGAGAAAGAGGACAAAAGAGAGAGAGAAAGAGCGGGGAAAGAGAGAAGAAAGGGTGGGGGAGAGCAAAGCACAAGGGAGAAATAAAGAGAAGAAATAGAGAAGAAAGAGAGAGGGTGAGAGGAGAGGGAGTTTGAGAGAGAGACTGAAAGCGAGAGAAGAAAGAGAGAGCAAAAGTAAGAGCAAGAGCAAGAGAGAGGGGCCTGGCAGGAGGGAGTTTTTATAGCCAAATCTAATGGGGTCTCTGGGTCTGCAAGCTGCCTTGTTGGTGTACAGTGATTGGATCATACAGTAGTTGCTAAAGTGTCATCTTCTGCCTTCAGGCAGATGGGGCAGGAGTCAGATATGGGTTTCTGTTGCACCAGATGGGCAGGGGCCGAGTATTTAGTCTTGAGTGGGGATGAGTGTTCAGACTTGATGCAAACAGGTGATAAAGGACCAGACAGAGGGGGCTTTGAGTGTGTGGGTTATCCTGCAGCTAACATTCATTCAGCCTGCCCTGCCGTCAACTTGGTTCAGCCTGCCCTGCACCTAACAACTTCCCCTCCCCAGTTGCTGGGATTGTAGGTGTGCACCACTGCGCCCAACTTGTTTACTTCTTATTGTAGAAAATATTAGAGATAAATGAAAATAGAGTAAACTCCCATGTACCCATCTCCTGTATTTAACAATGATTAACCCACAACCATTTTTATTTCTTCAATATCCTAGCCCACTCACCAACCTCTTACCTCAAGATATAAGTAGTATTGAAGAAAATACCAGGAAAAATATCATTTCATTCCAGAGGGAATTTTAGTAAACGCATCCTACCCTTGTGGGAAAGAATGCCTTGTTTGAATCCTCTGTCAGCTAATCTGGGATTGTCTCTAGACGGTGCCAACATTTTGGAGCAAGAGTTCTCCCAGTGCTAAGGACATGAATTTTTGACTTACCATCCTCCAGTAATTATTTACAAAAGCAGTCATGTTTTGAAAGACCATGAATTGAGCTGGGCATCAACTAATCTTTGTAATAACAAGCTATGGCAGATGAGGATCTTTGAAAATTACTTGATAATTGGGAAAAACCTATTTATTGGTCAAAGTGGACACTCTGTCTTGAGTCATTGATTTCTTCGGGCACAGGGATCATGATTGCCTGAGTGACTCTGACTGTGTCTTGGGGTAAATGGACACTTGGGAATTCTTACTGCTGATAATGATGAATTTTTATTACAGAAAACACTAATTAGTTCTATTTAGAGGTTTTAGGCCAGTTTAAAACTGTACTTTCAAGAACAAGTTTGCAAATGAAAATAATTTAGAGAGAAGGCATTTCCTTAGCATTTAAATTTTTAAATTTTAAATTTTTATTTTTGGTACTCAGCATGGAACCCAAGGGCATTCTACCACTGAGCTATGTCCCTAGCCCTTTTCATTTTATTCTTTGAATTTTGATACAGGGCCCCACTGTTACCTAGACTAACCTTGAACTTGAAATTCTGCTGCCTCAACCTCCCAGTAGCTGGGATTACAGACATGTATCACCGTATCTGGTTCTTAGCCTTTTTTTTTTTAAAGAACTATTCTTATAGCATATCATGCAAGAACATTTGGTTGGGGAAGATTGTGTTTGGATTAAATATATGGGGTTTGGGAAAAAATATTTTGTTGGTTATATTTTTGGACCTGAATCAACTCATCAAAATTCTGGTTAGAACATACTAGCTGCAGAGAGATAGTAATCAAGCCAAAGCCAGGCTCTTCTCATTAGAGGATCCCAGACTTCCATTGCCAATTACATTTATTTATTTATCTATTCATTTATTTATTTTTAAAAGTAGACACTTATTATTATTATTATTATTATTATTATTATTGTTGTTGTGTGGGACCGGGGATTGAACCCAGGGCCTTGTACATGCTAGGCAAACACTCTACCAACTGAGCTATATCCCCAGCCCCTACCAATTATATTTAACTATCAGTTTTATGACATTGATTTGATAACTTCAGATACCTGTGTCTGAAGGGATTTATTTGGTTAGGGCATGTGAGGATCTAGAGTTATATAAGTCATGGGAACCAGAGATACTTCATACCCAATGTTCTCAGACTTTTATCTATTCTCACTCTCCAAACACACACTTCCAAGCACAACATCATAATTTTCAGGCTGTAGATGAAGTTAATAGAGAATGTATTGTGCTATTGAACATCAGCAATGGCGTTCTAAAAATATTATGAATTTGAATTTTATTTTAGTCTTTCTCCTTTTCTGTATTGTAAGCCCTGGAATGTAAGTCAGAACACATGAGTGTCTTGTCTCTTCCTCTGACTTTAACTAGTCAACTTGCTAACTGTAAGAACTGGTACTAAGTCACCTGGTCCAATGAGAATCTACCCTGGCCACTCTCTGGACATCATGCTTCTTGCATAAAATAGTAAAAATGATATTTAAAAAAAATCTGGACTTAGAAATAATTTATATCATGGGTTTAATATTGTCTTTGACTTGAACCCTATTCTTTGATCAGGGAAGGAGACTACATGAGCTGTTGTAAGATTATAGCAGAAACACTTTTCAAAAGCATTCAGATACAGGTCCATGGGACAGAAAGCATTTTTTTTTAATGTTTCAACAGATTGAATGAAAATAGTATTTAATTTTTTTTGTTCTTTAGAATTACTTTGCAGTAAGTAGAGAAAAGATCTCTGGTTCCTAATTTTTCTTATTATGAACACATTAAAGTACAAATTATTTCTAATTCAACAGAACAAAATAGTCAAAAGATCATTCTTTGAGGAGCATTGTAAGATTTAAAAAAAAAAATCCATGAATGTGGAGAATGTAACCACTAAGAGGAAAAGTTGCGATATGATTCAGTAAAACCTTGGGATGGTTTTGCTGGTGATACTCGGACCTTAAACAAAACAAAGCAATATAAAATCCCAAGCCTAATGTAAGTGATCCTCCCAAGGCCCAGTTTACCTGTTGAACCAGTCGTCTGTGTAGCGAGGGTAAGGATAGGGGTCATTGCTGCTGAAGTCGTAACTTGCTTCGGCATTCTGAAAAACACAAGGTGTCTCATTAGGTCGGGAAAGTGAGACTGCTGTGAGCACACTGTTTTATGTTTACAATCACCACCAGAGCGCTGTGCTAATGTTCTGCACCGGACCAGCTCATGCAAAATTGTGACAGAGTGGAGACAGGGCCTCACTGTTCCTGGGAGCCTTCTCTCTTTTCTGTATGCCCTTGGCCTGGCTTCTTCCTCTCACTCCATTTCAAGTCTTCAAGGGCTGAGCAAATTGGAGCCCCAGTGTTCTCCAGACCTATTTTCATTTGAAGTCATGGTCCCCCTTGTGAGTTTGGCAGATTTCATCCAGAATTCAGGGCTGCTGATAACTTTGTTTGATACTTCTTGGACGGATGGCCAGAATGTTCTAGTTTTCATGTGACAGGCGGGAAGGGCTGCGGAGTTTTAGAGTTTCTCGGCTCACTTCCAGCTCCCTGTTTCAGACTGGCATAAGGCTCATCTCCTTTCCCCTTATAGGATAGCTGTCCAAGCTCCTAATCTTGTCTGCAATCAACCTCAGTTATTCACTCAATGAATACAATGAAGAGTCCAATACATGCCAGAAACATTGCTGGGAATGGAGTGCAGCCCTGGTCTCTCGCCATCTTTAGCCTCGTTAGTGGAACAAACAGCAAAAGGGATCGAAAAATCAAACACACAATTGCAAACTGTGACAGGCATGTATTCTTACACTCTACAGTAGAAGGTGGGCGGATACAACCTCAGTGAAAAAGTCTTTTGTTTGTTTGTGCTGGGAACTGAACCCAGGACCTCACACAGGCTAGGCAAGCACTCTATCATGGAACTACGTAATCCTATACTTCTACTTTTCCACTGAGAGTCTTTCCATACATAAGTCAATTACATACTCTCTTGAGCAGTATTTAAGTGGTTTCATGTTTGTTTTTATTTTACATTTAAGTCACTAGTTAGCCTTTTATCTTTGCCAATGATGAGAGGTGACCCATTATCATTTAGTGAATAATCCATTCCTTCCTCATTGCTTGCCTGGGGAGGCTGATCTCTGAAAGTTCCTTTCTTCTCCTCCTCTTTGTTTTTGGGCTCTGCAATAAATACACCAGATTTCTTGGTTCACAGGACACATGGATCCAGGGAACACTGAGTTGGATTTGCATTCCAGCTTTGGTACCTCCTGATTCCATGGGTCCTGGGACATATTCATAAATTTTCCTCCTTGAAGAGCTAAGACACTTTAGTTTGGGACACACCTTGGTGTGTACACCTAATGTATTAGTGGCATAATGTTTTTAAGAGCAAATTGACTCATTCCATTAATATTTATATTGATTTGGTGGGTCTCAAAAGGCTGCAAGTCACCAGTAGATGTAATGATCAGCATGGTAGCTCAGGTCAAGTGTCCAGAATCTGAAAATCTGAAATCTGTAATTCCCAAATTGGAAACTTTTTTGAGTGCTAACAGGACACCACAAGTGGAAAATTGCACACCTGACCTGATATGTCTGGTTGTAGTGAAAATATAGGTGCATTAAAGATATTGCATAAAATTACCTTCAGGGTAAATGCATAGGTATATATGAAACAGAAACGACTTTCATGTATAGACTTAGGTCCCACCCCCAAGATAGCTCATTATTAATATGCAAATATCTCTAAGTCTGAAAAGAAATCCCAAATTCAAAACACTGGTGATCCCAAGCATTTTGGACGAAGGTTACTCAACCTGTACTAATTTATTTAAATAAATGTATGTGGGCAGAAATTTGGCTCTGTCATTTTTCCTTGAATCAATGTTGTTTGTTTTATTGGTCCTGGGGATTGTATCTCTGGGGTGTTTAATCACTGAGCCATATGGTCAGTACTTTTATTTTTTATTTTTTAGACAGCATCTTGCTAAGTTGCTTAGGACATTGCTAAATTGCTGAGGCTGACTTTAAACTCTATATGAGAGTTTAAATGACTTTCATGTATAGACTTGGGTCCCAAGTTCTTCTTCCTCAGCCTCCTGAGTCACTGGGATTATAGGCATGTGCCACCATACTTGGCTTTTCTTGAATCTTGAACACATATATCCTTTATTTGTAATCTAGGTCTTCACCCAACTCCAGTTCACGAGAAAGGAAGTTCATCTCCACTAGCCATAATGACTGGCAGGTCCCTAGTTTCTCTTTTCGTCCTCCACTTAGAGCCCAAATTACTTTCACTTGTGAAGTTTAATTCTGTATCTGTAGTACAATCCTTGTCTTTGGGGGAACCTCTCAGATTTCACACTCTCTGCCCCCTTCCGCCTTGACTTCTTTTGAGATATTTGGATTTCAGTTCTTTTCAGGGATACTGTTTTAAAATTAAACCTTATTTCTCTTCCTTAGGTATATTCTGTTATCCTTGACCTTCTCTGAAGTTTTCAGAAATAAGAGCATTCTTAGGTAGAGTTAGTGGGGCAGGAATATTGAGAAAAGTACAACTTAATAATTTTCTTTTGGTCTTCAAGGTGAGGTTGCTACTTAAACAATAGAATTGGAAGAATCTTTGCTAAATCTGGTAAATAGAATGCTCTGATTATTTTAGGTTGAATTTTAATCTAAGATGAAGTGCGCCAGGATCCATGTCTCCTTTCTCATGCTTTTAGTCCTTCAAAGCTTAAGAACAATTCTAGAGACAGGGAGGGTAGAGATAAAACCTGAGTTGACCAATATCCAGTTTCTATCATCAGCACAATTAAGGTGGCAGATAGAAATTTAGTTACAGAGAAACAGAATTTCTGCACTTGATACTTAACTGCTGAGTGACTGAGTTTATAAGCGTTACACTCTGGCTTATTTTTCTGGCTCATAATTACCACTTGGGGCTGGGTTGAGGTCTCTGGGCTCTCATTCCTGACTCTGGAGAAGATGGCTTACCCTGAGTCGGTGGGGTATAGAAGGAGGGAGTAGGAAATTCTGACAGCAGAACTTCAAGCTGGGAACCCTTGAAACTCTACAGCCATTTTATTTATTTATCCATGCTTTTTTATTGGTGCATTTTAGCTGTTTATAATGGGAGATTTGTTGTCACACAGTTTATATACACACAACATAATAATATAATTTGACTCTACAACCATTTTTATAAAAAGAAGAAAGACCATATGTCATCTGAGGTCAAATTTGCCTCTCAACATTGAAATAGATGACGACTTAGGAACCCTAATAATTTTGTTTTCTTTACAATGAATTTGATGACTAATGATTGATTCTTTGGGTAGTAGTCTGCAGTAAGCTTTAAGAAAAGCAAATAATTGTTCTTTTTTGGCTGTATGTTTTTCTGGCTAGAAATCAAATGGTTGATAGCAAGAAAGAGCAGTGAGCAATTTTTTTTCCAAGAGTTCTGTTTATGCTTTTATGGTCAAACTGAATCATTTATTGATTCGAATTATAATGTCTCCTATAAAATTATTTGTGTACAAGAGTAAGTTAAACTGGTCTTGAATTATATTAGACTTTTTTATCATAGCCATCAACATGAACATTTGAGAGTAAGTAGCGTTTTGGTAAACAGAATGCTCTGATTATCTTAGGTTAAACTAGATGCTTCTTGTTTGTACTTGACTAACTTCTTTCTAAAATACATTACTCTATTTTCTTGCACTAGAAATCCTGTTTAATGAACATGATTTAATCTTTGATGATTCAGGATCAGGATGATTCGGAGTCATCATTAAGAACTCGAATTATCACTGTATTATGTCACAGAAAGTGAGAAGATGGGTTGGATCCAAACTGACCTCAGGGCTTCCCTGGAAGTTATTTCTGGAAGAAACTTCTCATAATGGCTCATTTTTTGCTTAAAGAAGTTGAATGCAGGGGGAATCCCCCCCCATCTCTGCTATTTAATAATACTAAAGCTTAATTTCTGAATATTTGAATACATAGAAAACAAGACTATACTTGCTCTTGGCTAGAAAGTCTAATAATTATGGGTTTGGTCATTGTTTGCACTTTCCAAATAGATGGCCTGCCGGCATGCACACTAAGCTAAGAAAGGACAAGGGGAGTGCTTATTTTCACAAAGTCCTCTTTCTTGCTGTATCTGGAGCTGCATTTGTTGCACAGGCTGACCAATGGCATGCTTCAGATGCTGCATCTGGTCTCACTGTGAAGCCTGGTGTGGAAGTGGAGGACGGACGGAAGTTCCTGAACCCAGTGGTAACCAGGCCTGCTGCTTTCACATCTTCAGAGAAGCTTCCGAGGCCCCTGAGATTGAACTTGGCTCTGAAACTGCCACCTTTATCTCTAAACCTGGAATTTATGTCTTTGGGACCAGTTTGCCCCTCTTGCTGGAATGCACAAGACATGTGTCTGCAGGTACCAGCTTGTTGGAGGAGAAGAAGGAGAAACATTAAAGTCAGAAAGATCTGGTTTTTGGCCTTGAACTTTTTAAATTTTTATGTTTTGGGAATCACAGATTCCTCATTTTCAAAATGCAGATGATACAACCCTTACTACTTGGTTGCTGTGAGGGTGAAATGAAAGTATGATGGATTCAGTGTGGGCTTTCTCTCATCTCTTGCTTTTTTTGTGCCTTTCTCTTTCTTTGATCACTTTCAGCAGGAGTCACAAAATAGAGCCCATGGGTCGCATATGCCCCACCACTTGTTTTCTGTAAATAAAGATTTATTGGAACACAGCCTCATCTATTTGTTTACAAACTGCCTATGACTGTCTTTGCAACACAACGGCAGAATGAATAGTAGTACAGAGGCCCACAAAGCTTGAAGTGTCCACTCTCTGGCCTATAGTTGGAACGAGTTTGCCAATGTCTGACCCATGTTCTCGGGCACTTGTGCTCCCTGGAAGTCATCTGATGGCCTAAACTATAACGTCTCATTCAGACCATGTCTTCCTGGGAAGTCTCATTTCATGGGAGACACCTGTCTTGTGTCCTGTCTGTCCTCTCTCAGTGGGCTGAGGCTGCTGTAAAGAATCTGATATAAGTCATGCTACATTAAGAGATCTTTGAAGCTTATCCCTATGG